TTGTCTTCTTCCCAAGATATTCACTGTCTTATATAGCTCTAGAAAGGAAAGATGAAATATAAGGTGGATCTTCATAGACTTTGGTAGATGTAATTGATAAGCAACAAGGTTGATTTATTCAAAAATAGGAAAAAGTCTCAGCCTACGATAGTCCAACTTAAAACAAAGATGAGTAGTCTTGATATTGCGATGAAGTAACCATACTTTGTTACTTACGTTAAATTGTGGTTTCTCCTTGAGATAGGCATCCACGTTGGTCTTTTGTCCTTCTTGAGCTTGTTTTAATTATATCTTCATTGTTACATATAGTTTTGACAAATAATTTGCTAAATATTTTGCCGTAGGATTCTCAACTTTTAAAAAGTCAAAAGTATCAAGTCATAGATGATAACCATAATTGGCAAAAAAAAAGTGTTTGTTGAGTACAAGAATGTACTCAATTATTATATGCAAACCATGCCAATAGCAAAAAAGTTATCCAATCATCTTGATGATAGTTGATGGTACACCTCAAATATTGCTCCAATACTTGATTCACCATTCTGTTTGTCTATCAGTTGGAGGATGAAAGTTGAAGAGAGCTTTATATCTACTTTTAGAATCTTGAATAGGATTCTTTAAAATCTTGATACAAATTGAGTCTCCCTATCCAATATAATATCCTTTGATAATCCATGATAGCAATAGATATTGTCAATGAAAAGCTTAGCTATTTCTTCACTTGAAATAGATTTTGTATATAGTACAAAATATGCCATTTTGATGAAGTAATCTACAATTATAAATATAGAGTCATATGAACCTGAACTAGAAAGATCTATAATGAAATCCATAGAAATGAAAGACCATGATTCTTCAAATATAAGTAATAGTTGGAAAAGTCAATAGGATCAATTACAAGGAATTTTTTATCTTAAAAAAATGTCACCTGACTGGACAAAGACTTTTATTGCCTTCTATATTTGTGGCAACCAAAAATCTCTAAATATAAGCTCTAAAATCTTGTTGTATCTAAAATGTCATACTGTTGAGAAGTCATGACGTGCTTGAAGAACACGTAAATATACTTCTCGTTCTGGAACATATAGGTATCCTTCAAAATAGAGAAGATTGTTCTTAAATTCAAAATTTGAAACTTCCTGAGACTTAGAAGAAAGATTCTTGATATCATAAATAAGAGAATCAGAGGACATACTTGATTGAATTTGTTTGACAAAGGTTGAATCAATAGTCATTGTTGATTTCATTGTTTGAAGATAAAAATGTTTGAGCTTCAAGATGATTATTCTTTGTTGATCAAAAGATAAGTCTTTTTTTTTGGTACAAGATAAGAATGTTTAAAAAGAGCATCTAATAAACCTTGTTGTTTTTCAGGTCAATATGTGATTTTAAAATCAAATCTTCATAATGACATGCTCCAATAGATTTGACGATGATTTAAAATACATGTCGATATGAAATACTTAAGTTTCTTGTAATGTGTATATATTATAATTAGAATTGAAGCGCCTTTTAGATAATGATGCCATTCTTGAAATGAATCTACAAATGCAAGAAGTTCTTTGTCATGGATCTTATAATTAATCTCGGTTGCTAAAAATTTCTTGCAACGGAAAGCTACCAGATGGAGTTTGTCATCTGTTCCCATTTGTAAAAATATTGCATCCAAAGCAAAGTTTGATGCATTTGTTTCAATAAAGGATGCTTTAGAAAAGTCAACGCAATACAAAATTGGTGCAAAAATAAATTTCTTCTACAAAACAACAAACAATACTTTAGTTTCTTTATTCCACTCAAGTTTGTCTTTATAAGTCAAACTTGTAAGTAGAGCTACAATTTAAAAAAGTTCTTGATAAAGATTTGATAATAATTGGTAAAGCTCAAAAAACATTACACATCTCTTACTGTTCTTGAAATCTTTCAATTTATGATAGTTTCGACCTTCTTTAGGTCCATTATAAGGCCTTCATTAGAAATGATGTATTCCAAAAAGTTAACTTGAGTAGTGAAGAATACATAATTTTCTATCTTTGCGTATGATCTTGCATCTCTTAGTTTTTATAACACACAACAAACATGAACTTTATATTCTTTTATGTTCTTAGAATAAATTAAAATGTTGCTCAAATAACAAATGACAAAATCATTAAGAAACTCACAAAAGATATCATTCATTAGATGTTAGAAAGCAGTTGATCCATTTGTAAGTCCAAAAGGCATGACATTATATTCAAAATGTCCATACCTAGTTTGAAAAGCAATCTTCCATTTATCTCCATTTTTTATGCTGATCAAGTTATATGCTCCTCGTAGATTTATTTTTTTGTAGATCTTTGCTTGATTTAGTTGATAAAAAAGTCATAAAATCAAAGATAAAGGATACTTGTTCTTCATGGTGATCTGATTAAGTCCTTAATAATCTACACACATCTGCAGAGATCCATCTTTTTTCTTCACAAATAAGATAGGAGCCCTGGCTAGAGATTTAAAATGGCTTATAAACTTCTTAGCCAAGTTCTCATCAATGTACTCTTTGAGTACAACCAACTTATTTTGTAATAGGCTATAGATTGGTCCAAATGGTAGTTGAATTCCTTCTTGAAGATCAATGGTATAATTACAAGGACAATGTTCCAAAAGAATATTTGCATTTTTCTTTTCAATAATATCTTAAAAATCTTGATATTGGCTAGGAATATTACTTGATATCTTCTCACCATCAATAATGGCTGTGGCATATATAGCAAAAGATGGCCCTTCATTTGCTACATGCATGAAAGCTTTTACACCTACTAATAAGAGTTTGGAGATACTAGGCTTATGGATTTCTACTTACCTAACAAGACCTTGGACTAAACTATAGGAAAAATCAAAATTGTGAGAAATCCAATCATTTGAGGGTTATATCTTTTTAACTACAATAATCCTAAAATGATTGGATTAGAAGGAGACTTAATCATATTAAATATTACTAAAGTATTATAACCACTAGTTGTTACTTCTATAAGAATAGTTTCATGTGTAACATCCTTGGAAGATAATGAATGTCTATCTATTACTTCTACATGCATATGTTTGATTTTTTTAATTAAAGATATATCTTATTTTTTAACAAAGTCTTCATCTATAAAACAAGCTGAGGCTCTTGAATCCAACAAGGCTAAGATTTTGTGATTTTTTGGTTGTAAACAAATTTCTATTCTAAAAAAAAGTGAGGAATCAGAGGGAAAAAAAAATACCTTTGCTAGATATTGTACATGATTCCAACACCTATGAATTTGACTTGAGTAAATCCATCAGAGTATTGAAAAGGGTGAAACCTTAGATAGAACTTCACTTGTTGTAAAAATCCTTGAAATTTTGATCTTGTTCCATCAAACTTCTCAAGCATACTAATTCTTGTCGCCATCATAGTTGTACAAGCAAAACTTTCTAGATTTGGTTAAAAGGTCAATCTACATGTTTCTTTCAACTGCACAACTTTTTGCCACATGCTTTGAACTTCTTCTATAGGTGTAAGCATAATACCTCCATGATTCTCATTAGAAATACATGAAATTTTCACTCTTAGAATATTGACAAGTTTATTAAGATCTGTAATTGTTGCAAATCTATTTTCACTTCTATTGAGAGTAACATCCATAATTTTTTCTTCTATAGAAAATTCAAAACAAATTCAAAAAGTTAAATTAGAAGAGAGTAATCTACAACCTCTTATAAAAATTTTCTATAAAGAAGGCTAATCCACTCTCTTTAAGGAAAAGATTAGTGTTAGAAAAAAAGATTTTTTATTTAAAGGTGGGTAATCTGCAACCTTCAAAATACAACAATAGAAGTGGGATAATCCATTCACTTCTAAAACAAGACAAAAACAGTATATTAGCACTCTTGTCGAATTATCAAGGACATGAATCTTGAAGAAAGAAAGTCCTCAATATACTCTTCTGTCATTGAAGAAAACTAGAAAGTCACTCAAAAGGTGATGTAATATTAAACTAGAATGGCTATTTCCAAAAACAAGAAGACTAGAAAGTCTTTAAACAAGATTACGGATTAGAAAGGCATTGACAAGAGTGAAGAAGGCTTCACTCTTGCTTCCATGTATACTCTTAATTAGGAGCTACGTAGCAATGTCTTATAGGACCTCCAAAATGTGTTGACTTTGTAAGACATGTATCTTAACTTGTAAGGCAAGATTTCTATATGTATGCCACATAGTTAACTTATTTTACAATCTATCAACACATAATTAGCTTATTGACCAAGTTTCTAACCTACCAATTAACTACAAATACATGTAAAATCAAGCAGCATCTATGAAGTTTCTTTAAAAGGTCTTATGAAATTAACCTATTTTTATCTACTTTTATCTACTTTTATCTATTTCTACCTAATCATATAGGTATTTACCAGAATACTCATATAGGTCTGTAACAAATAGTTGTCACATAATGTGGCATTGGATACCAATTCTTGTTGGATATATATAATTTAATTTGATTTAGTGGTTTTCCATCCATTTAATTTTTTTTGTTAATTGACTTTGTTAATGCCATCTAGGATTTAAATACTCAAGTGGAGAAATTTCCTTGTTTTGACATTCTTATCAAGTCATGTCTTATAAATGATTTAAAGAGAAAAAAAAGCTTGTGTTACAAGGTTTTGATTAACTATAGTGATTAAGGCATTTTAATAAAGCTTCAGGATTTTTTTAATTTACACCCGGGTAGACTACCAGCGGCATGCCAGAAACCGTATCTGAAACGCCAGCAAGGGGGAAGTTGGGAACACACGTTCCATCGGGTACGTTCCCATAATGGGGAAGGAGCTGGTGATACCCCTGGGCCTCAATGATGGACAAGGGAACTAACGCAGGGAGCACGCGCCACGTGTCACAAGGTATGGTTTCGCAGGGGAAACTTGGCACGGGCGGGCCGGTTAGGGCCCGGGCAGGGTCGGGTCCAATGTTGGCTCGGGGCAACCCTGTCTCGCCCGTCTTTCTCCCAGGGAGAGCTCGGGTGCTTGTTTGCAATGGTCTCGGAGGTAGTAGAGGTGGTGGTGGCGGTGAAGTTATTACCCGAGAGCTTCGACAGCTTCACGCATGTTTGCGATTGCACGCAAGGACGCAACTGGCTCCGTAGTTGTAATGAATGGATTCACCGCGATGCAAGCTTCTCAACGAGCCGTCGGAAGCTTCGTGTGGTGGAGTGTGGAAACTGCCGGAGCTCCGTAACCATGCGGGGTTCATGGAAGTGGTGGCTGCCAATTCGGAGGCGGATTTCAATGTGGTAGAGTTTGGACTTAGAGTTTTGTAGGAGGAGGGGTTGAAGTGTGGGCCAAGTGTTGGGGCTCCTGAAACAGGGGAAAAGAAAAAGAGACGACGACGCCGGAGATTGGAGATTGAGGTGTGTGTGTGTGTGTTTGTGGTTAGTTTAGCGGTTTGAAGTGATGATCAGTGGTGCAAGCGGGGCACCCGCTGGGGCCCCAGTTCCCACTGCTACTGGTTCTGTTGCTGCGCCATTGCCCGCGTTGGAGTGGAAATTCTCGCAGGTTTTCGGCGAGCGTGCCATCGGAGAGGAAGTGCAAGAAGGTATGGTTCTGGATCGTCGTATGTTGGTAGTTTAGGATGTTCGGAGAAGAAGATCGTGTTTTCCGCGAGTTAGTGGGGGCTGGTGTCTGGATTGTTTCCTTTGTGTGCGTGTTTATTTTTATTTTTATTTTATCTTCCCTTCTTCTTCCTGCTTCTAGTTCTCACGAGGTTGTTGTGGTCGGTAGTGGAAATGTGGAGCTCAAGTAGCCGAATAGCTCATTAGTTTTTTGTCTTTTCTACGTCTCGTGAGGGTTTTACATTTAGTTTTTAGGGTCATTGAAGAGGTTTGGTAGTTTTGAATTTAGGGTTATTGGGTCGTCCAGATTTGATATTTCAGTTCTTTTCGTCTGCATACTCATCTTATTTAAGCCTTTCGCAAGGCCTTAGAGACTGTTTGGTTTAGGGCGAACTCCCCTTATATCTTTATACGTCACTTTATTTCAAGTCTGTGATTATGGTCTACTGTCCGGTGTGAAGTAGCGCATGACACCAGCTGACGCCATACACTAATTCCCGATGCCCGTATATGTAAGGATACATTTCTCATTTACTTATCATCAGCGCATGCAGCTTTTGTAGTAAGATTTAGTCGTTTGATTCAAAGCTGATGAACATTCTCTAGCAGTTTACTAGCAGACTTGGTTTGTTCAAGTGGTGGTCTGTGAGCTAGGGTTTTCTTTGCAAGGGTTTTTTTACCAAGTTTGCATCTTTTGTCACAATTTCTGCACACTATATCTTTATCTCATTCTTTCAGTATTCTCATGACTCTGTCGTCGGTTGATAACATGTTGCCCTACTTCAGGTGAAGTTCTAGCACTTTTCAAACTTAGGGAGCTCTTCTAAGTATGTTTACTCTCTTGATACGAAGAGGATTGGGCTTGTGCGAAATTTATGTTCTTTCTACTTTTCGGCTTGACTTTTATCTTTGGTTACCGGTGCAGTGGTTCAGCGGTTGAGTCTATTTTCTTGTTGTCTGGAGCGTGTACCTTTTAGATTAGCCTTATTTTTGCACTCGGTGTCAATTATTTGGAACTTAATTTAATCTAGCTCGCACTGTTGATGAATGCAGTTGATATTATCTCGGCTATTGAGTTTGATAAGACTGGAGAACATTTGGCGACTGGCGACAGAGGAGGACGCGTTGTACTTTTTGAGAGAACAGATGGCAAAGATGTATGTACTAACCACTTATTTAGATTACGTGCTGAATTCATTGTTTGCTGACTTTGTATGCGCTACGCTAGCACATCATGTTCGATCAGCTTTATTAATCTAGTTTTTAGGCACTCCCATCTGTCCTGCTTTGTGTCACTTGGAGAGGGAATCGATTATACTTTTGCTAGTTTCGCTTGAAATCTAATGAACTTCATGTCTTAGTGGTGTAACTTTTGAAGGTTAGGGTACTAGCTCGCATTCCGGTTTTCTTCGTTAACCGCTACGCAGTGTGTGTTAAACTCGAAGGAGATAGGCCGTCTAGACATTATCTTTGATGGACTTTGTGCAGTTTTTCTCTAACTTTGAGAGCTATTGATTCAGCACGAGCTTTGGCATAACATCTTGTACATTGTGCATCACAAGTACACGTAGTCTTATCATGGGCTTTTGAGATAAAAACCAGTGCTTCTGTCACCTGAATTAATTTTGTAAAGTTGGGCTGTCTGTGACCTAATCTGATGTCATATGAACTCTGTTCATTCTCGCTCTAAGTTGTGTAGAACCAGTGAGTGTATTTTTGGCAATCCTCGCCTTGACAGTTATGTCTAGCTAGATGTTGCAACAACTCGGTTCAATTCAATTGTTTAAGAATACTATCTTGTCTGTGGTTGACATCTGTAGCAAAGGACACGGAGAGAGTTGGAAAGAGCTGATTCTGCGGGGTCCAGGCATCCTGAATATCGATACTCTACCGAGTTTCAAAGTCATGAACCAGAGGTAATGTTAGCAACGCTAAGGTGAGTCGTGGTAATTTTTCAAGATTGCGCCCACATAGTTTTCTAGAATATTGATAGTTTCCTTAAAATCATTATATCAACTTCTCTTTTTCATATTTACTAAGTTTGCAAGTTATCTTTATCATATTGACCGTGTTCGGTTTACGATACTGTATTTCTTTCTGCAGTTTGATTACTTGAAGAGTTTGGAAATAGAGGAGAAGATCAATAAAATTAGATGGTGTCAGACTGCCAACGCCGCTCAGTTCTTAATTTCTACGAATGACAAAACCATTAAATTATGGAAGGTACCACTAGCTTAAGCTCTACATATCGTGTCATTTTCTGCTTTTGCTGTGGTTTGCTTGCTTTGAGTCGCATTTGAGTTATTACAGCCTTTAGTCGATTGTCATCACTCTTTCCGATTCCTTGTAATCGAAATTTTACAGTTTCATTTTTCCAACTCCCAATCTTCTCAGCGTGATGAGTTGGTTTGGGGCCTCACATTAACTGGGAAAGGAGAGACCTTTTGGTTTTTGCAAAACTACTCTGGTCGACTTGGGAAGGAAAATCTCAGACTAGACGGTCCTGTTATATCTTTCATTTCCAACATCCTCTTTATTGGGTTGCAGTTGGAATTTATTACAGCCAGCTTTTACCATCGTTTTTACTGCAGCCTTTAGATCATTCCTTGTTTGTTTCTCTTATTTGTTTATTTGTTTTAACGATAGGCGAATCTCAATGTCGTAGGTGACTGAAAAGAAAGTGAAGCAAGTCAAGAACCTGAATGTGGATCCTGGAGCCAGAGGGAATGGAAACCCATTGTCGAATAACATGATGCTCAATCCAAAGGGTTTTGCACCACGGTTGTCGATGAATGGAGTTGCCGCGAACCGATCTACGCCTGCCATCAGCCCTGACTTTGTATTTCCTCCTGGAGGCATTCCGTCTCTTCATCTTCCCTCGGTAGTTGTACCTGCCTCATGCTTTGAATGTTGTGGACCTCGTGTTCTTGATTTTCATTTAGAGAATCTGTTGGTATCCAGTTCATCTTTGGATGCTTTACAATCTTCGTGGTCACCTCAGCGACATGATTATCTGGCCCTAACATGCTATCAATTTGCTTGTGACCTGCAGGTATGGAGTAACGAGACGGCATTAGTTGCGAGATGTAGAAGAGTCTACGCAAACGCTCATGCATATCATATCAACTCCATATCTAACAACAGGTATTTTGTTGTGTGTTATAATTACTTTTTTTTTTCACTCATAGAAGTCTGAACTTTCTGGTGATTATCTTCGCATCTGCTGCTTTTGTGATGTTTCAACCAAGATTATAAGATGAATTTACTTGAGACTGTAAAATCAATAGCATCGTGTGACTATTATGTATGCTGCTTGTTTGTCTAGGGTTTGTGGCTCTCTCAGAGATCACATTGTTAGGATCGTCTTTTGGACACGATCTTAGCTGCATGTATATGTCTATACCTTTTCAGCTTTGTACTCCATCTCATGTGAAGTCTTGTGTAGCTCAGCAAACATGTTGAAGTTTTACTGAAATAGCGCTTAATTTTATATGCAGCGATTGTGAGACATACATCTCTGCAGATGATTTGAGAATAAATTTATGGAATCTTGAAGTTAGTGATCAGAGTTTCAATATTGTTGACATCAAACCAACAAACATGGAAGACCTTACAGGTATTCTCTCCCATGCGTTTAGCTCATCAATGATCCTCCCTCTTTTGGTAGCTCATAGTTTCCTTTAGAGCTTACCTGATGAAGCTGTCCTTTGTCTTATAGAGTGGAGATTGAAGACTTGCTACGTTGTGAATCGGAGTGGTCATTGTAATCCAATGGACTAACGCCTTTGGGTTACTGGGTTGGTTTTGGTTGAACAGAGGTGATAACGTCTGCAGAGTTCCATCCTTCTCATTGCAATGTGTTAGCATACAGTAGCAGCAAGGGCTCTATTCGACTCATTGATATGCGTCAATCAGCCTTGTGTGATCGACATTCAAAGCTGTATGTTATTTTCTTTTGTTTCCAGCACATGGTTTCTCGGCACAGTCGATCCATTTGTTGAAGTGCTTTTGTAGAGTAAGTTGATTTAGATTTATTGTGTTATATAAGTATGGGTTGTACTTTCAATCAAAAAGCATTCATGACTTCCTTAATCTAGTTGAATGTGGTTGGCTGTTGATTCATCAAATCTTGTTTCTTTTATTCTTGCGTTTTTCCTAAAAGTTATATTTCCACAATGGTTATAGGTTGTGTTTTCTGAATATTGGTTTCATATTGAAACTTGTATTGTCTTTTTGTGGGTGCAGGTTTGAGGAGACTGAGCATGCTGGATCAAGATCCTTTTTTACAGAAATCATAGCTTCTATTTCTGATATTAAGTTTGCGAGAGGCGGTCGGTACATTCTGAGTCGGGACTACATGACTCTGAAAGTAAGTAATCTTTATACCTAGTATTTTGAATGTGGGCAGTGATCAAGACTGCTGAAATAAAGCTGGTGAAACCAAGAGACCTAGTGAATAGAGAGCATTAGTTCATTTGAAAGAGTTTATTTGAAATACAATTTCAAAGTATCTATCCTCAAGCTATGTTCTTCTAGCTAGAAGGTTGCTATGGCACTTGCATCCATTTTTGAATCAAAATTGATGCTCCTGAAATTACCGGCCTTTTCTTTTTGACAATACCTGGTATTTGCTAGAAGAGGTTGATGTAACCTTGCGCAGCTGTTGGTCATATTTTGCTCTCAATAGACACTGAACCGAGCGCTAGGGCTGTGTTAGAATCTCGCATGTGAGTTTCTTAAAGTAGCAATGATGGATGATTTGTTGATTGGAGGTTGAACACTTGCAATGTCACGTTATCGTGATGTTCAAAAGTGTAGCGTTGTCTAGTAATGCACCCGTAATGTGATGAAGGCTTATTAGTTGTGTTTTTGCTCCTTTCAGTTGTGGGATGTGAACATGGAATCTTCCCCTGTGGCCGTATTTAAAGTCCACGAGTATTTGCGTCCAAAGGTGAATCCTGTGACTTATCTGTTGAATAGCTTCTCATCGATTCATCAATGGATAGAGCTTATTCCTCTTGTGAGTTGAATCTAGTTGAGCTTATCATTGACTAGCTGCAGTTAATGGAGCCTTCGAGCCCAGCTTCAAATAATGTATAGCTAGTGGCTTAATACGATGATTAGTCAGTTACCCGAGTGTTTTCTTTATTGAACTTGTAGAAACTATTCGCGTCTTTTGCAGCTTTGTGATCTCTATGAGAACGACTCCATCTTCGACAAGTTTGAATGTTGTCTTAGTGGGGATGGCATGCGTGTGGCAACTGGTTCCTACAGGTATTGTATTTCTCAGCTTAATTGTTTGCTATATTCAATGTCTGGAGGAAAGTGTGGGAATTAAGACTTGTATTGGACAATACATCTCATTAGATTTTTATGATTTCTCTTTTAACTAAGAAAACTAATTTAAGTGTGCTTGGTACAGCAACTTGTTCCGGGTGTTTGGGGCCGCTACCGGAAGTGAGGAAGCGTCAACCTTGGAAGCTAGCAAGACTCCAAACAGGTGTAGTAAATGTGCTTATAGGCTGAATACTCGAATTGTTTTGATTTGAAATCGTCCAAATGCTTTGATATGGTCAGTATTGCTTAAGGATTATATCCAGTTCGTTATAAAATCGAGAACTCGAAACTGTGGCAGCTTTAGTGTTATCCGATGAGCATGTGAGAAGTGGCACTTGTTGCCTACCTTAGTTTTCAGTCAATGAATGGTTTATATTATCTATATGTATTTGTTAGCTATTATGCATTTGTTGATGTCTATTATTCCAATAAGAAAGTTGATGATGGAGCCCTAAATTAAGTCTCTGCATAACTGCAGGCGTATCGTGACACCTCCCTCAAAAGCTGGAAGTCGACTAGCCAATCTTGCTCGTGGTCGGCGTGATAACCGTCGAGGTCAGCGTCTGATTCATTGAACTATGCCTACAACTTGGCAAACAGTTCCGCATTTTGTTTTCACTTGTGTGCATTCTGGGATGGATGTAGTAAGGTCAACGAATTATCTTCGTGGGCTTTTAAATGTTAGTTTGCTATTTTGTCTCTGCATAGTATCCATAACATGATTGGTTTACGAACACTTCACTTCGCATTATGTCGGCTGTCTTTAATGTTTTGAGTAGCGTGTACATTTCACTTCATGAGTTGTGCTGCAGATGTAGGTCCGATGGATTCAGTCAATTCGCCTTTTTAATCTGCTAGTGACAAGTGGGTTCCAATTGGTGTCGATTCTGATCTGAAGTTTCTTTTTCTTACAACTAATGTTATTGCGTATCTCATGCAGGTGGAGAAAGCCCAGGTATAGATTTGAATGGGGGAGTGCAAGATTTCACATCAAAGCTTTTGCACTTAGCATGGCATCCAGCAGCGAATGTGATCGCGTGTGCTGCATCCAACAGCTTGTACATGTACTTCGCCTAGGATCAATTTGTTGTTCAGTGAACTTCTACTCACACACGTTTGCTTCTGTTTCTTCGCCGTTTGTGCTCAGCTTGTGTTGATCCTTAACATTCTTGTGTAGTGAGGGAGTGAATATCCGCAAATTTTTGGATTATGTCCTACCCTAAACTGGGTTAGTAGATATTAGAATTGCTGCATGCATATAGAAAGAAATCAAAGCAGAATATTCTTTGAGGCGAATCCAAGGAAAGATAGGGAGTCCTGCAGGCTATCCTCTTAATGCTCAATTGGACTTTATAGGTGTTGTAAAAGTGGGTTACCGAGGATATGCTTGATTTTTGATCACCCTATGTTTAGCTGCAAGAATATCCTTTTACATTTGGAGTTTGCCACGCCTTACATTTGGAGTAGCAGTGGGAGTTTACACTCTTTTCTATCATATGCAAAAGTTGGATTTATAAGCGGATGTGCTTCATACATAAATATGTTGGAGTTGCTCCTATATTCTTTTGAGGAAATCTTTCAATGCCAACGCATGCTGGATAATTTTGTTTTGATAAACCCTTGAAAGTCTTGATTGGGCGGATCAATGTCAACTCGGAACGGTCCAACTGCATGAGTTTCTAGTAAAGAACCAGTAAAATTCTTGTTTTGCCAAGCACAGTAGACCATTAATTCCATAAGCTGTCTGGATTTTTGAGGATATGTGAGGATGAGATATTTTTAAAGTTCAAACCAGGTTGACTTTGAAAGCTAATTGTTTATTTATTTGTGATGTACGCCATGTCTTGGTGTTTTAGGTCTGCATGGATATTTAAAGATTTAAGCATTATGGGTCACCTATGAAAGTGCTATTGCTACTTTGCCAATGAAACTCATGGATCAAATGGATAAAATACACCAAATTCTTTTTATGGCATTTATTATATAATAATAATGTAGTAAGGTTGTGTCATATCTGACTTTCAATAAGTTGACTGGTAACAAGTAAGGTTTGCTTTATGGAATGGCCTCAATAGAAGCATTGAGTTGGGATTATTTTGAATAAAAATATTTATATTATTAATATTTGTGGCAAATTGTTGTCAACAGCCAGACAAGTTGCTTGGTCAAAGAATAAGAGGTGCTTGTAAAGCTATACATAGAATTTGTGGAATGTTTTTTGTTTAGTAGGTTAAAAAATATTTATTAAATGAGTATCATAAACTTATAATGGCTTTTAGACATTTTTTAATAAATTAAACATCAAAAATTAAATATCAAAAAATTCATAGTATAAAAATAGTACATGGTATGAAAGTATTGTTTTAATAACCATTTATAACAACTAGTGAACATGAGTTTAAAAGTGTGCATAGGTGATATAATATTTTATACATAATAAAATGAAAATAATTTAATAACTTTGCAATAAGTCACTATATATATATATTTTAAATATTTTGAATAATTTATATATATATATATATATATATATATATATATATATATTTCACAAAGTCTTAATATGATTTTTTTTTATTATAATCTCAAATATAAAAAAATTAACAAATAAAATTTATTGGACATTGTAGTGATTTATATAAATGACACATAATATAACAAAAACAAGGTTGTCTTTATAATTTTGAGTGCTTTTAGAAAGAAAAATATATTGGACCTTGTAACTTTTAATGTTGTTTTAGAAACATAGAGGGATTAAAAGAAAACTTTGTAATCAATTAATATTATTTTTAGATTCAAATAAAGTTAGATGACATAATTATTTAAAATAAAATATTTAATATAATCATAACATCTCAAACATCTATAAAACATAAGTAAATTTAAGTAAATAGAAATAATTAGAAGTTGGTAGAAACATATTTGATAGATAATATCTCCCTTAAAAATATATCAAGAAAACTTTATAAATGAAATTTATATTAATAGATATCTTTAAATATTCCATGTAGTTTCAATAAATTCTTCTTATTTTTTTAATATTTTGGAAGTCACTATAGAAGAAGTCTATAACTGAGATAGCTTGTAAGTGTAGAGAGCTTTGAGAAACTTCTATATAATTTTGTTAGCCAAAATATGTAAAGACAAAACTACAATCATTTTAAATGTTATAAACCTTATTTTTGTGTTGAAGTCTTGATTCAAGATTATCTAGTTTTTGTACTTGGCAGTAGTTATTTCAATATATTTCTACCTTATGAATTTACCTCTTTTTTATTTTCTTTAATCCTTCATAGTTTTACATGAACTTATTTTTTAACAAATTTATTTAGATTCAAGCCCTTGATATATAAATCCTAATAAATATCATCTTTCTAATTGTTTGTTTTATATTATATTTTACAACTCCAAATACTACATATTGCTATAATAATATAAGCTACTTTTTGTATGAAAAGTATTATGTGCATTTTTATATTATTTATAGTAGTTTTCATTAATTGCTACATATTGAAGAATCTCATGTTTCTTTCAAGATTTTTCACGTTTGTTTGCCTTTTCCTATTATACTATTCTAATTCATCACTACCTTTGGTGGTTAATATGTCTTGCTAGCATTTTCAAATAGAATATTTTTCAGCATTTTAGACTACTGTTGCACAAACTGTGTTTCCTATGTTTGTGTGCAACAGTTTTGGATTGCACGTCTCATGTATGAGACGTAAGCATTCTTTAAGAGGGTGTGCGTGACACTGTTGTCGATTTTCTTATCATATCTGAAATCTTAAAAGTGTTATTTTTATTCATAATGATGTTTTCGTCTTTTTTGTGTTCTTTTACTAATTAAGAATTCTAAATCAGCATTCATGCCACTTAGGTATTTTCCAGTTCAAGCAGAGGTATTACTGCAAATACGCATAAATTGAATTCCACCCCAGTGCAACATCAGAATTTGCTGACTAAAATACAAAGGGACTCGAGCAAATGAGGCAACAAATTATGACACCCTTCTCCACTTCACGGGATTTGGGTTCCCTTTCCTGCCCGCAGTCACACCTGCTTCAAGAATTCCAACTCATCTACTTGTCTGTGCACATCGAAATCGGACGCCTACACATTATCATGTGTCCAGCACAAACTGAACACTCTCTCACCATCCCTAATCCAGGTTACTAAGCAAGATTCCTAAACTGGTAGCTAAGCCTTGAAGAGCAAAAGCATCACATAGGCTTAGATTTACTCTCAGTGGATGAGAGGGTAAGAAAATATGTCCTGCCCATCCATTCTGACGACCTCGAAACAATTCAACTAGAAAAAAAAAAATTAACCGTACAGAAGCTTCTTCAGTCTACTCAGCGCCTCACTAGCAGTTTTGTTGGTAGGTTCAAAAATAAGAGCTTGCCTAAAATCTGCGAACACACGTCCAAGTCATCAAATGTCAGCATCTTATCACTGTGAGATGCTGGAAGTATATATGTAGTTAATGTTGACAAAAGCTATAATCTGAATCATACATGTAAGCAAGAACGCATAGATTTTTCATTCACGCTAGAGCTATCCCCGAGGAAACCTAATGACTCTTAGCAGATGACCACAACCAATCCACATGAAACAAGACGTTCAGGCTAGAGAAAGGACTCTGCCACAAGCAAACGGGAAGCCAACAATAGAAGGTAAATGCTTACGACCTTCATCAGCTTCTTTGTAGTATCCCAAAAACTCACGGGCAGTTCCCCTCCTCAAGTAGGCTTTCACGCTCTGCAAACTCACTTCATCATTAAAAGTGTGACTTGCACAACAGCCGGCACATTCAAATCTACAATGAAAACATATATTGGTGCCACCATCCTGCTCCCGTCAAACTGCATTTGTTCTTCTAAGCCTACTTCAAATAGAATAAAAACACTCACCCTCTTGTCAAGATTCAATGCCTTAGTACAATCAGATTCGGCCTCTGAAAAGCTGCAAAGAACCAAGTTAGATGTGAGCTGGACGATTCTCACTTAGGAAAACTTGAACTTCACACGAATGACGCTATTTGAATAGCTCCACAGCTCCTGGCAAGATCGAATTGATTAGATGACAGCTTAAACTACCAAAAATGCAACACATCGGACCTACCTGCAAAGTTGAAGATAAGCCATAGCACGGTTGTTATAGTATGTTGCGTTGTTTCCATTCAGGCGAATTGCATCAGTGTAAAACCCTACAGCTTTCTTGTAGTCTTTCTCTTTGAATGCTGCATTACCCTGCACTCATGACATAAGTTATAACTGCTGCAAACACAGATCTGACAAGGATGTCAAAAAATAAACAGAGAACCTCTTCACTTGGAGGTAGTCTATAAACAGATACAAAGAGGTTTTCTCATCAGCGAGTTATATTTAATCATCCACCAAAACTTTGCAACTTGACGAAATACACAATGCTTGAAGAGTGTGCGAAGGGAATAGAAATATTACACATGACCCAACGAAAACTTCACAAGCACTTACGTTGTATTGAGATCCTAAAGTAAAGAAAGAAAGCACACGCACAACAGATTTCACAAGAGGTTTTTCGTTCACACCTTCTCCTTTGCCAATTCAGCAGCAGCACTGTTGCCGTCACTCACGATAGAAGGTTGGTCAGCCGCAACCTTATCTTCTTCCTGTACTGTAGAATATATAGCTAGTACTGTATCAAGTAGAAACCGGTCAGACCCCTGCCTTGCTAGTAGAGACACTGCCATGGGCACGCCGTCATGGTTTCCTGCTGGCATGGTAACCTGCATCAATTTCGGTCAATGTCGGGAAAGCTAGGACGAGAAAGAAATAACATCTCTACCACACAAATAAAAGCTGACATTAATTTTCAAAACTGCGGAAAACCAAGGGAGATGGGAAGGAGGGGTACTTGACAGCAGCTTGACATCCCTGCTACACATATCAAATCCAACGTCTTGTTCCGAAAAACTTCAAGCGCTTCTGCTTTGGTATTCAGTTTCGGAGGAATGTCTGGGACTGTGGGCATCACCAGAAGAGAATCATTCTATTATGCACGGTGCAAACAAAGTTAGTTTATGACCAGAACAACGAAGTTTAACGACCGTCATAAAAACGCATATTCATAAAGATGCAGAAAAATGAAGTTGCAACGTTCACATAACATCCGAAGCTGGAGCTTTACCTAAAAAGAAATCTAGATAATGTATCAGTAATACAAAATCTTACTGTATTCTTTAAGATCATGCAAATTACCTTGAGAAGTTCACTGATGGCGTAGCGAGTCTCATCCTTGATCTTCTGGAGAAGAGGTACCAGATTAGAACTTGTCTCAAGAGCAAGTTTTGTTCTTGCAGCTAAAGCAGGTGCTAGATCAGGCTTTACAGTGGTCAGCCATTCTTCATGATTCAACTTGAACTCCCACCTGCAAAAGGGCGAACATAAAATTCTGTTACTAAATAACAGCGTACTTGGAGCATTTTACTGTGCTCGTATTGCTTGCAAAGGTAATTGAATCAAATATCACATAAATAATCAACATAAAAATATGGAAAAGCAAGGCACTTGCTTCTCATCACCAAAACCACCACATTCTATTTTAACATATGGTATCTACCTCTGAAGAATCTGCATGGCAGTCCGAAGTAATGCCAGTGATCCTAGATTACTGTCGCTAATCTCCTTCTGCAGCTCTTTCAGACTCGGAACAGTTCTTGCCACATAATCCCCAAGATTAATGTGCTGTAACACTTGCCCTGTGAAAAATCAGCAACAAACATTACACTGATTTTAAAAAACAGGCTCTAAATGCATGCATGTATCAGCATTGCGGAGACTGAGTTAAATTGAATCAGCAAGCGAAAACCTCAAAATAATTATGAAAGACACCTTTCGAAAGTGAAAGAATTTTTTCTGAAAATTCTGTACTAAATGGAGGGGTGCGGACACAAAAAGAAAAGAAACATACGTCCAAGAAGTTTCTGAATGGATTTGACAACTGTCCCCAGAGACAATTCAGTAGGAATTAATGAAATTTTGAAGCAATCATCAGCGATAAAGAACCGTCGTGGTTGCCTCACATCCATGTAAGGGAGCTGAAGCAAAATGTGCCCTACTTGCCGCAAGATCGCTGGATCTCTTGCGAAACAACCTACAAAACACGATTACCCAATTTGGGTAGGTGATTGAAGAAATCAAGAACCGATTGAAGATGCTCTAGATCAAACTAACAACAGAAGACAGAAAAAAAAAGAATACAACATACCTGTAAAAAGAAGCTGAATCCACACAATTTAGAGAGAATAGCAGCATACATGTAAAGGCAACGAAGGCAACGACTCTAATCATTCCATGACCAAGAGTAGTTCATCAAGGAAACAAATTGTTTACCAACAGTATCTAAACTTTGGGCCATAGGAGTAACTCCAACCGTTGAAACAGCTCCATGCGAAGGACGAAATCCTAGAATTCCACAGAAGGCCGCTGGCACTCGCACACTACCAGCAGTGTCCGTTCCTAAAATTCCAAATGATCGCAAGCTTGGATCAAAAATCAAAGATAACATACATTTACGCGTGAAAAAATCAGGTGCTAATGGGCAACTCTTTCTGGAGGATTTTTTACAGCGACAAACACGTATATAAGTTACAGACCGCAGAACACACCCACCTAGAGAGAAATCCACCAAGTCAGCAGCTACAGCAACTCCTGACCCACTTGAAGATCCTCCAGGAATGCGATTTGGTGCTGCAGGATTTACTGGAGTTCCATAGTGCTTGTTATCTCCTATAATGCTGCAGAATCCATACCAATTCAATTTAATAACCGCGCTGAAATGCCTTAATGCACCCCTTTCAATTATGTTTCTCAAAACAGAGCCATGTTTGAATGCTGCATTCATCTGTAGATACATTAGAAAGTTCACCTGTAAGCAAGCTCGTCCATAATAAGTTTGCCGATGCATGTCGCACCTGCTTCTACAAGGACTTTGACAGCTGCAGCGGTGCGTGTAGCAGGCTCATGTGTTGAGGCCCAATCTGGATTACCAAAACCTGTGACAAATCCCTCTATATCGAATCTGTCCCCCATCAAACCAATGTCGAGTTAGAGAAGTACAAGACTGATTGCTAACCTGTTATTTTTATTGATCAGCAACGGGCTGCCAAGAGGTGGAGAATTCTAGCTGTCAACTAATAATTGAGATACTTGGAAGATTCTCGACAACTTCCAGAACCAGGAAACTTGCAATAAAAGAATGCTCAGCAATCTAAACTCCTACCAGAAGTCGCGTCAACATTAGATGCAAAAAAATTTAAAGGCCAAAAGAACCCACGTTATTTGTGTAAATAGACCACTTATGTCCAGTAATCAAACTAATCTGGCATTACCCAGTTCCCAGCCTAATTGCTCTCATTTGGTCTTCCAAATCTATAATGTTTTAGTGCCTTCTAAGAATATTATGATTAATCCGTTTAAAAATCGAGCTTACAAACAAACTTTCGACTATTTCCAAGCATCAAAGGTTCTGATTATACAAAATCCAAAAGCTCTTCTTCATTACGTTGATAAGGGAATCCAAAAGGAGAGATCATAGAGAAGAAATAATTTTAACTGTACATAACTGCATCAAAACCAGTCAGTGTACATGTAGAGAAAGGCAGAAATGAAGGATTAAATGAAGAGATGAGGCAAGATCATAAACAATTTTCGGAACACAATACCGCTAATGAATTGCAAATCTTCAGCCTCCAAGATTCAGAAAAGGCACAAAAGGAAGGCGTTAAACCCCAATGAGTACACTGCGAAGCAATCTCGCAATAACGAAGCGCTGGAACTTTATGATGGGAGAAGTAAAGCTACTATGTTTCAATAGCAAGCCATCTTACAAGTCTTGGAATTCGATACTTACATGTCCTTAATGGCAAATGTGAGCCCTGAGAGAGGATGAGGAGCGCTAGGTGGAGGTGGCGGAGGTGGAGGTAGCAACTCAAAATACTCAATGAAGGCGCCATTATCCTTCCTGCCTGTCAACCTGAAAAGATTCCGCCGGAGAATGAAAATTCCAGCTAGTCCAAGGCCAAATAAGACCCCGAGAGACCTTGCCAAAATTTTATCGTTCGGCATACTTCCTCTGCTGCAGCTTCAAAGGAAGTTCTTGAGAAATCCAAAAAGCTCGTCAGAGCTTGAAAACGGTGCACCCGGAGGAAGAGTCACCACCTAGGTATCTCAGCTTTTAAAACACTGATTTTCCAGTTACAGAGTCTCAAGGTCTGAAGGTCCCTCAAGAGTTGCAAGCCTCGTGAACCACATCATTAAACCCCTCCTGGCTTAAACACTGCCACCCAGAACAATGAGGATTCAGACTTCTTTATCAGGGACGTTGAATTGCAGCATAACATCTGGTCCTCGTCCGTGTCTGAAAAATTACAAGCCGCAGGTATAGAAATCGAAGTACTCAGAACACCCAACTTCTAAAGGTCACAGTTCTGCCTCAAATTGAATTTTATACCACTTCACACCAAACGCATCTCCAATAGACCACCTTCACGGAACTAGTTTCCTCCCCACTAAAAATGTACTACGAGAAGGTTCACTTTTCCTTCTCGCATCACTTGCTCCTCCTCAAGAAGACACTCAACAGCACCCTCGACCACTCCGTAACACCAAAACCAAGCTACATCTCAATGAACTACACAAACACGCCGAACTAACTACAATTAAATCCTCCACTGACAGCAAAATTCAAAAATGAAACATAAAGAATACAAAAGAAGTAAGAATCACACCCCCGTTCCTCAGCCTCAAATTTTATAATTCATCCAACCAGAATCCCGGCAGAAATTTCTCGAATCACAAGTCCTGAATAAAAGCTCTGTACGCGTAAAACTCACATACCTGACGTGCAACTCTTGTGCATTAACCAGACTTCACTTCAACCAACTCCAAGCTTACTGAGTGGACACACCGTCAAATGAAAGAGAAGTTGATAATTAGGGCTTTAGAGCTACGAATGTCCTCTGCATCGAAACTGTGTGTTATCGTCTTTCATCCACATCGTGGTCAGATCCTTTACATGGGTAGTTGTCGTCATTCAATGAAAATCCCAAAAAGAGCTTACAGCACAATCGTCGAGAACTGGATATGCTCAGCGTCGATGGAATTGTCAGTTGTGAGTCATGGGTGATACTTGTGAAACCCACATGCTGAAGCGTAGCGCAGTCTAGAGGATCAGAAGTCTCTTATCCATGGCATTGCCAGACCTTTCTTTAGCTTCGTGAGTTAGTTTCTTCGGAGACGAAAGTCGCGGCATGAGTGAAGTCTCAAGGCTTGGCACTTGAGTTGATATTTGGGTGAGCCTCAAACCATAGCACCGAGGTCATCAATTTGGCATAACCTTTGTTAACTGCTGAAAATGGAGGACTCAGCAGCCAACTTCTCTTCTCTCCTTACGCTCTCGCTCTTTTGCTCTCTCCTCCCACCCCCATTCCCCCCCCCCCCCCCCCAACCCTTCTTGCAGTCAATCATGTTTCATACTCGATTCAGCAACCTTTTCACGGCGATGTCTGCATAGATGATAAGCTTTAATTAAGTATCGAATCTGTCAATCTTTGGTTGATGTTGCAATTCAGCGCTACAGTACTCACTTGAAGAACTTTCAAAGTCTGAGGATCGGGTCCAGGGAGTAGATCAAAAGATTTGTCAGGCTCTCTCAGCGATGCAGAACATGAACAGCTAAACATTATCACATTGTTTCGTTTTTGGCGACATTCAGCTCATATCCCCACATTGAGTCTGCCCTTTATCCATTTAATTTTGCCGTGATTAGGTTTCTCTCATAACGTACTGTCCCAGAATATGCACTTTGGCGTTTCGCCCCATGTTGTAAGATGCTACTAGATCTCGAGTCAAATTGCCCATCAGTATTATTCCAGAGTGTAACATGTAAATTTTACTTTCTTGCAAGTAAGTTGCAATGCTGCATTGTTGAACTAACAAAAAGCAATCTCACTGTGCTCTGTTGAGCAATGCCTCCTCATGTTTTCTGTCGGTCCCACATGACATACGATGGGGCAATTCGACTGCCAAGTCGAGAGGTTGGGATTTCCCACAAAGTACCTCCATCGATGGTGAAAACATAACAGATTCAGTTAGGCGTCATCTGATGACATGGTAAAGATTGATGAACTAAATTCGTGAAATAACTGATAAAAACGTCACACATTACGTTACAGAATGCCGGAGAGGGTTGAAACAAATGTGTCGCCCACACTGTCAGCCAAGGCGCTTGGAAGCTCTTGTCCTCCTCGAACCGTAATTCCACCACCGTCAACAGTCTCGCTGCTTTCATTTAGCTTTCCCCCGAGGAAATTCATCATACTAGGATTATCAGTAGTTGGGATTGCAGGCATCTACGTGCTGGTGAAGAAGGGGAAGTTGACCCTCCCTCGAACATCAACCCTGAGATCGTGGAAATTCCCCAATTTCGATTTGCGACAGTACCTCCCTCATTTACGACTCCAACCAACTTTAAGTGCCTCGGAGAAATCAAACTCGCTACACTTTGGCCAGCTCAAATTTGGCTATCAAGATGTGTAAGATTCTCCTCATCTGATTCTCTGATGGTACTGCATACACTCAATTTTTCGTCGTCATGAAAAGAGTTTCTTATTAATTAAAAGTCGCTTAACTACTAATTCTTTCTTGAATCCAATTACAAAAGCACAGTTAGGTCTACTGAAATATATCATACAATTTACCGATGGGCAGGTTTGATGTGGAGTCGGCCATTACCGGATTTGGAAGCCAGGATTGGGAGCAGACACACGCGCCGGCTACTCAAACTGCGGTAGCAATTGGCCGGATCCTTCAGTCAGGAGCAGCATGCACTGGAAAGCAAACAATGGACGAATTCGGCTTAAGGTACTAAAACATTGAAGAACAATCACAGAATTAATTTATTTTGAGCTCCGTGATAAGTCTTTGCATTGCTGTGTCTTGGGGTCCATACAACTGGCTCATGCTTGTGCCTAATTCTCCTTTCATCTGCATAAGTTACAGGGCTTTTTCTAGGGTTGAAAAACTGGTTTGAGCGTAGAGTTTTTAGTGAGGGGTGAGCCTGTGTGCGTTTTGGTCACAGAAAGAGTGTCAGATGTCTTTCATTTGTGTTCAAGTATGGTCCACGTTGGGGCAACCTGCTTGATTCAAATAATCATAGCAGGAAACGATTGAAAGGTTTTCGTCGATTGTGGGGCAGCATGTTTGGTAGAAATAAACGTGATGGGATAGCCGAGAATCCTGTGGTTCCGAAATATTTCGCAGGAGGAGCGGCGAGTGGCTCTGGTGTTGCAGTTGCCTCCAATACCTGCGACTTTGCACTTGGTATGTACACCACATACAATCTTGAATTCGATGGCTCCCTTACATCAGATGGATGATTCCTTATCCAACTCTGCAGCAACTAAATTGTCAAACCCTGATCTATCTCGGAAAACATGCATTCTACTCGTCAATCAAACAATGGTCGCAATCTTCTGTGTGAAAACTCTTTAACAACGTTGGGTGTGTGGTTTGGCAATTTTTATCCGGAAAAAAACTAACTCACACGACTATGCTTACGCATGAGTGGCAGCGCTTGATACAATAGGAGGAGTACGAAATCCTGCATCATTTTGTGGCATTTTTGGGTACCGAGCGTCTCATGAAGCTATCTCAACAGTCGGAGTAACCCCAGTTTCACCGAGTCTCGATGCTGTAGGTAAGCACATCAATCACGAATCACTATCCTATTAATATCTGAAATTTCGATTGATTTATTTCTGTTTGAACTGCTGTTCGCCAGGAACCCTTGCAGGAATATGGTCATCTAGTGGGCAATTTGATGATCGATGCTTTGGCATGGCGGTGAAGAGTAGTCTATGTTTCTGATACGTGGATGATGTAGGGGTGTTGTCGAGAGATGTACATGTGTTGCACCAAGTAGTGAAGCTTCTGTTGCAACAACCGGATTTGGAACGGGGTCTCCCCTCTTCCGTTCTTGTTGCTGATGATTGCTTCTCGCAGTCCTCAATTTCAACCGTTCGAACTGCGGATCTGATTGCGAGGGCCGTCTCCGAGACACTCGGACGCAGGTGATAACTCACGATTCATACTTCCCTCGAATTACGTGCCCTGTCCGATCATCTTCTGCACGATAATAAAAAAATTAATTCTGTTACCTGATGGCGATGACAGTTTTTGCAAGTGTTTTTTCTCAAAGGTGAAGTAAAGTTTTGTCCATGTTAAAGTCGAATTGATCCTCTTGTCAGGCAGTCTCGTACACCATGTGAATCTGGGAGCGCTCATTGCGTCCAGTGTGCCAACTCTGAGGAACTTTTTGATGGAGGAGGAGCGGCTCCTCAAACAAGACACATCTCGCTACACAACTTTTGATGGTCTTCGAGACGCCATGCTCTTGATATTGCGGTATAGTTGAATCTCTCCATGTCACAATTGTTCTCCTAAGGTAACCAATAAATATTTCAATATAACCAAGCTGTTTGACTCTCGCTCGACGTGCGTCAATTAAATCTAGGATATTTTCCGTAACAGACTGGAATGTGAGAATGATGCTGTTGTGTGTTGAACATTGACAGGGGAGAGTTCAGAGACAAACACCGAAAGTGGTTCAAGGATGTGGATCCAGAGCTATCCTCGGACGTCGATGTGCGTGTGAAATTTGCAATGGCTCCTTACATAGATGGATTGCACAAAATGGCTCTCAAAATCAAAGAGGAAACGCGGGCCGCCATGAATGAAATTCTACTGGTAATTCAACTTTTCGATTGGCCATGCCACAATATACACTTCACTGGAAATGAAAAATGCATTAAACCTGGTTGGTACCAATCAAGTGGGGAGGTAACATTTGCATATGCCAGATGGATTCGCTACTAGTGATGCCATCAACTCCAAGTTTGCCACCTCTTAAAGAAGCCAAGGGTAAAGAATTGGAGATCTTTGAATCAAGGGCTTTGAGTATGCTGAGCCTTGCATCCATGTCAGGTTGCTGTCAGGTAAGTTCTTGTCTTTTGGATAAATGAATTTATCTCCATCCCTCTTTTATGACTTCAGCTCATTATTTCCAATGACATAGGTGGCTGACCTATTGTCGACCACCCCCCATTTCCAACATATAGACCTACCTAGTTCTATTAGTCTTGTGACTAGGTTTGACATTTTATTAATTGGAAATAGGTGGGGACTGGTTAAAATGATGTTAAGGTTTGAGCAATAAATAAAATTAATTGTATTTGGAATAGGTATGCATCAATTATCTGCAGTTAGCAGTTGTTGATTGGTTGGGGTGGAATAATAGTCTAATTAGGTGCTACACTTCTTTTGATAGCATTAGCCACGCATCACAGTTTTGTAAAAGTTGAATTCTTGGTTTTGAAACTGACCACCAGTCAGAATTAGGTAGGCCTGTATGTCCAAAATGGGATAGAAATCCTTCTGATTTCTATTTCCCTACATGGGGTATTTTTTTCCCCATTTTTACACCTGCTAGATATATGCTGAAATGCTTAAGTTATGGGAAATGGGTTGTCTATCTTAAATGTGACTTCATGTATCTGAATTTGCACAACAGGTGACTGTTCCTCTGGGAAGCGCTCGAGGAATACCGATAAGTGTGTCTGTGTTGGCCAGACATGGTGGTGACATGTTCCTACTGGAGTCTTTGATGGAATTGAATGCAAGGATCCAGATGGAAGTTGATGTAAGGAATCTGCAGGTTTAGGTTTCTACTGTGCATTGCTTCTGTTCATTACTCTTGTAGCACGAGTTGCACTAGTCAATCGACATGGCAGATTCCTGACACTATTGAGTGGCAATGTAGGTACTGAGGCAGATAAAACCAAGTGTGAAGGATAACCATATTATTGCAAGAAATTCAGTTGTGAGTTACTTCTATCCTTGCTCTATCTATGGGTTCGTATTTTGTACGATTGTGAAAAGGCCATTGATCCTGTCTCTATAAACAAAACTCCTGTTGGAAGCCAGCTGAAGCAGTTATTTAGCCTTTTTCGTTTCTTGAGAACGAACGTGGTGTACACTCAGAACCCAAGTCAATGAACCGCAATAATAAAGGATTGAAAATTATTTCTCAATGAGAGGAGGATAAGACGGAAACGAACCAACCAAATGAGAATCAAAGAGCTGAGGATGTTTTCCAGCACTGTTACACGTGAAAAACCTAATATTTTCGTTGTGATGAATTGATGCAGCTTCAGGAAATTTCGCCAGATCTAAAAACTGGGAAACGACGACGTCCAACTACCTGAACCTTAAAAATACGCAACATATAGTTTATGACCTACCCTGTTGTTACATGGCTTCCACTGGAAGATTCAGTGCATCCCAACGCCAGAATTTCTTTCAACGTCCTAGAGTCTCAAATTCGAGACTCCAATTTGAGACCCCATGATCAAATGCAATGCGTAAGATTTAAAGCTTATCTTGTACACCAATCTCTTTGCGGTGATGAATTGCCTTGCTTCACTACCTTATACTTTGTGAACGCTTACGGAACTATGACGACTTGCAGTTGCAAATCAAATCGGTTGTGAGCAGGACGTTAATCTAAATGAATAGGACATTCATCTTTGTTCACCGCTTCAATTGAAACCTCTTAGCCAGTCTCTTTCACAGTCCAACTGAGATTTTATGCAGTCCCTGGAATTTCAAAATCGTCAGGGAAGAAGAATACCAATTAAATTATGCTGAACAAGCACTACATCCACAAGACCTTTGCAACACATCTACTGCAACCAAATCGAACAGCTCAAAAAGGTCGAATGCCAAGCGCTTTTCGAAATTGCTCGTAGAAGAAGAAGGTGATGATAGTATGGGGCCCAATCCGCATCCACACAGGTATGAACCCCTTGTAAAGGCCTAGTGGTCCTTCCGACCGCAGGGTCTTCCAGAAACAATCCAACGTTGAAGAATACAATACACCAGCTTTTCCACCAACCTGGATAGCTTGCTGCATTATCCTGCTCTCCAAACATTTCATAGATCAATTAGTATCTATTGAAGACACATAAACTGCAGTTACTCTCATATCCTTAATTTACGAGGCTTTCCAAGCTCTCGTAATATTCCCGTAGGCATTGATCTGTGGAATGCTTAGCCATCTTAGGATTCTCAAAACCGTCAGATTGGTTGCTTCAGATTGCCAGAGCGAGAAAACGACATAAGAGGCTTGACTAACCGCGTTTTGATGAGATCGATGGGTGACATGACGACAGCTGTCACTAACCCCGCCGTCATTGAGGACACCAAATGACACGCAATACCTTCGTGCATAACATTACACTTCAAGAGCGTGTACTTGATGTGATCGTAACTAGGAATCTGCGCGGCATTGAGGATTGCAGCTCTCTGCATTGTTGGCCCTACTCCACGGTACAGGCCCCTCAGACCTTCAGTTCTTGCTATGGTGCCAAATGCTTCAAATGGCCCACGGTAATGCCAATGCGTTGTTGCTCCTTCAAGTGCAGCAGCAAGAAATTAGCCAAATGCGAAGTCAGCAACCATATGCCTTGTTCTAAGATGCCGCTCATAATATTCAGTGGCGTGAACGAGGGACACAAGATAAATAGCGAGCATGTACCTGGTACACTAGTGCCGGCTACAGGAGCTTGCATGCGGATCATGACCACGTCGGTTGGATTGGCAATTGCACTTCCTATGGTTCCTGCCAATGAGCCCGCAGCTACTTTGATCCACAGTGGACTGTGTGCAGAGTCATGCCCTGCAATTGTCTGCACTCGTATCAATAATGAGACAGTCCTCGAGGATGAGGAGGAAAAACCAAGCTATCTCTGCTCAAGTCGACTCAAACAGTGAAGTAAATGTTTTCTTCAAACCTTACATGCTTTAGTGGTTCATATAAACCCATTCGAATACTTGAGTACGATGCTTCACGTAGGAGAGCTGCTCCAGTGCCACGCCAGAGACCCTTGACCCCTTCTTCTCTCCCAATCCGAATCATACTCTTGAAAAAACCTGGATATTGTCGCTCCTGGGAACAAAGAATACCACACGAATTATTCTGTGAACTAGGGCTGGGACAAATTTGCCTTGCTGCAACATGCTCCTGCTTTTAACAAAATATAGGTACAAAACACTCGCATGAATTCAGGCACTGCACATGTGGCCTTCGCCAGCAGTCGCAGGGGGCTGTCCAGGCGACCCTGAGCAAATTGAAAGGAACCAAGAGAGAAGGAGATGGTGGTGTCACCATGGTAGAGGAGAGAGCCCCGTCTAGTTGCATTCGAACCTTGACGACATTGACAGGATTCGTAATGGCAGCTGCACACATATTACTGGATCCAGCGAGTCCGAATAGTGTGGCGTGCCCCTGCCACCCCTGAACCTTCTTAACCTTGTTTTCGCTTCTCTGACCTGAGACATATTCTAAACATTAGAATAGATCGAAATGGCCGAGTGCATAAAACTAATGAGGAAATCAACTCAACACAACCCTTAAATGAACGAAATACGGACCAAGAATCAAAATTAACATCAGACAAAACTCGTCAAATTAGAATCGACGAATACGACAAATCTCCCTCGCGGATTTGGTTGCGAAGCAGCGAATTAAGCGAGAAATAAAGCATTTCTGCTCCATCGACGATCGCTCACATGAAACATAAGAGGCAAATGCTATGATGATCTTCAAACCTGAAGAAACCGTTGGGGCTGCAATTGTCTCGTGGGACTGCGACACCGATGCACTCGCCATACTGGCTCAATCAATGCTCGCTACCTCAGGCAAGTCCACGGTGCTCTTCACTCCCTGTCTCTATTGCACTTCTATGTTCTCCCTTTTTCCGCCATCTGCTCGTTACCCAGCCACTTCATGCTTTTCTTGAGTTCCTGTCCAGGTTGCCGCAAGATCTCGACAGACCTTCATGTTAAGTTCCCCTTGCCTGGTAATGTTACTCCCGCTCCATCACACGAGATGAACGCCTCTTTTAATCCTCTAGTAACCTAGACATGTAACAGAGAGTGGACAATTACCGTACTCTGCTCGAAAACTCCCCTTACAAGATTACTGTGAAGACAGAGCACTTCGAAAACCATGCGAACTGCACCTACATCCCTTCAAAACTCTATCTCAACACACCATCTAGGCATCATCATCGTCCTCTCCACAGACAATCCAACTCCCACATCCTTCCAGTGCCGAACATACAACGCACACACACACCGCAGCTAAAATCCAAAATCATCTCCGAGCATCACAAACCTGCAATCGCTTAACAATCTCTAACAATCCACCGATTGTATCCCCGATCTGTACACCAAATGCACCCTTCCTTGACCAATCTTGAAACAATTAGACGCACACACAAAGCGATTCACCATCACTCAACACGAGGCTCAAGTCGAAAGTTGCGCTATAGGCATCAGTAACCCGGTAATCCAACAGAAGAAAAGAATAATCCCTCTCAAGGCTCGAATAGGGCACCAATTTCGTTGTCAGAGAGGGAAAAATCGAACACGATCACAGGAGATCGTGAAACCATGGAGCTGTGAGTGAGTAGGAAGACAATGAAGGAATGAATCGCGGATTTGCAGTGCCGCCGAATATCCAGCACCTGCACAGAAAAGGCATCTTCCGGTGCAGCTTGATTCTAGGCTTCTCCGTTCCCCGCACGTCATCGTGACATTTGATAATCTCTGACACGTTCCTGCATTATGCGAACGTGTTCCCCTTCCATCTCCCAGTTTATTCCTCCTTCGGGGAGGTGCTGACCGCTCCCATTTGTTCCCATTTGATCCCTCCACTTGTTCCCATTCTCTCTAATAACTAATTTCTACATAAATTTCATGTCATGATTCCTAGTAGCAATTTGTCCTTGCTAAAGTCCCTATTTTTATTTTCCTTTGGATAGTCTCTTGCAAAATGGATGTTTTAAATAATTTCTTAATAAATTAAATCACATAAAGTATTAGAATGATATAAGTAATAATATAGAATATTTTTGTTGAAATCAAGGTGTTTAAAATGATTATGAAAGTTATCATTTTTTTAAGAATATGGTTAGATGTACCACCATGGAATTTTAAGTTTGACAAGTTGTTTTAACTTTACATATGTTTGTAGTTAATTAATAGGCTAGAAATTTGGTCAACAAATTAGCCACATGATAAATGTGTTAGTAGCTTATAGAATAAGTTAACTATGTGGTGCATATATAGATAACTTGCCTTGCAAGTTAAGTCATATATCTAGCAAAGTCAATACATATTGGAGGTGTCATAGAATATTGCCATATAGCTCCCAATTAAAAAGTATATACGGAAGTAAGAATGAAGTCTTTTTCACTCTTGTCGATGCCTTTCTCATCCTTAATCTTGTTTCAAGACTTTCTAGTCTTTTTGTCTTTGACAATAGCCATTTTAGTTTAATACTATATCACCTTTGAGTAATTTTTTAGTCTTTTTGAGTGATACAAGAGTATATTGATCTTTTAGTTCTTTGATGTTCATATCCTTAATAGTTTGACAAGAATGCCAACTTATTGTTTTTATCTTTATTTAGAAGTGAATAGATTATTTCACTTCTATTGTTGTATTTTGAAGGTTGTGGATTATCTACCTTCAAACAAATTGTTTAGTTTTTTAATACTAATTTTTTTTTCTTAAAAAGAGTGGATTACCCTTCTTTGTAGAAATTTTCATTTGATAATAGAAGTTGTAGATTACTCTCTTTTAATTTGGCTTGTAGATTTGTTAAGTTATTTGAAATAGAAGAAAAATCATAGGTGCTATACTTGACAAAAGTGAAAATAGATTTGCAACTATTGTAAATCTTCACAAACTTGTCAATATTCTTAGGCTGAAAATTTCATGTATTACTAGTCCCAAATATAAAAACACTAATTCCATACACATAAAAGAAGTTTAGAATCTATGTTGTCGTATTATAACACAACTATAAGGTAAAAATATAATCAAAAATAAAATTTTAATTAATATTTAATCATATTTGTTCAATAATAATTCAAGACATTTAAACATGGCTTTTATAAAAGCCTCTTAGTTTATTTTCTTCTCTTAATAGTTAATAGATTAAAGATTGATTAATAATTTTACCTTTTAGAAAATAGAATTTCTTTTGGTACCTTAAAAAGGCCATAAATTAATAAAAATAAGATAAAAGAGGTAAATAATCAGTATGATTGATATTAAGATTAAATTGAAGGTAGGGTCGAGTTAAAAAATTCCTATGATAGGTTGGATTGACACCCAAGGATCGACCATTTATAAGATAAGGTCGAAATTAGACCTCTAGCTACTAAAATAGTTACTTAGGATAAAATAGGAATTCATTTGAAGATTAGAAATTAAGATTTGAAAGTTAGCTTTAACCTTATTCTAAAGGTATAAGGCTTATTTTTGTAGATTTTGGAATGACTTTGCAATTGCTATTCGAACTTAAGGTTTATATCAATGACTTGTAATTTATGCAATACAAATAAAGCTAATACTTTCAGCTAGTTCGTGCAATTGATATCACATCTACACTTCAAAATTTGAAAGTTATTAGTTGATTAGGTGTGCTAAGTGTATGTAAAATTTTGTATTAATCTAATAATGTAGTTGGAAGATATCTAGGTTTTGGTACAATACAATATTCAAAATTGGTAGTTTGGGATTAGATAAGATTTCCATGATATCTAAAGATTTATTAAATGGATCGAAGTAAAATTTAGTATGGTATTAGAAGATTTTAAGATCAAGTTATAAATTGATTTTGAGTTTAAATTAATACTTGGAGAAGAAAAAATTACTATTAGAACAACTGCATTAACTTTCAAGTTGGCAGCCAAATAACATCACTGCATTTTTTGGACTTTTTCTCATAATTTATAAGTTGGACTGGACTAAAATTTTCTAAGCATATAAAAGACTTGTAGTGGCATTTATATGAAAAATTTCACATAAAGTGGATTGTTAGATTAGAAATTATAACTTGCCAAAGGTCATTAATTAAGATTAGGACTTACAAAAAGAAATCAAAATTGCCTAATTATAAAAGTAACAAGATAATTGGAATTTATGTATATTTAAGGTTACTAAAAAGAGTACTTTTGAGTACTCTATATTAACTATAAGTAATTTTGAATTAAAATTTGAATTTCATTCTTCTTATATAGGTAAAACCTATTAGAATTTTTTGGATATTTATAAAATACAACTTCACCTTTCACAACTAGATGCCCGATGCATTGTCAAACAAGACAACATGTATTACAACAACATTAAGAAATTTTGCAATTGAAAGAAGCAAGTAGATCAACCTTACAACCAAATTCAAGAATTTTTTTTCCTATAAGTATAATAAGAACAAAGATTAGTATGCTCAAGAAGTTTGATGGAATAAGATTAAAATTTTGAGGTTTTTTATAAAAAGTTAAGTTCTAACTAAGATTGCATTCTTTCTAATACCTTAATCAATTTACTTAAGTTGGATTCATAGATACACTTCTATCTTGAAGTGCTTTCTTTTGATTTGCACCTTTGATGGAAAATGATTTGCAACCCTTTTATAATTTGAATTCATTCCTAGAAGTATTTACAACCACATTTGAAGAAAGTGATTGAAAAAGAGTAACAAAGACCAATCTCTTATCTTTACAATAAAGATCACATTTAGCTACTATATATATTATTGAATTCTAAAACCTTGCTTGTGATATAGACTAGAATGACAAAGTCCTTATTAATCAATTTAGATTTGGATTGAAGGATAATATCAAAGATTTTTTTATTATTAATACTAAAAATAGATTCTTTAAAATAATTCATTACTTAAGTCTTTGCATATAACAATCTATTATTTAAAAGGCATCAAAAATAAGTTTTGGCTATAGAAAAATAAGTCAAGTAATAATGGTAGATTTCAAGTTTTCAATAACTTATTCATTAAAAATGAAACCAATAAAAATTAATACAATACATTTTAAATCTCTTACGGCATAGAAAAAGATTCAACTTTATCAAGAATATTTGTACTTATATTGTAGAGAACTAAGTACACTGCTCAATATTATTCAAAGAAGTATGTATAGATCTAAAAATCATAAAATATTTGCATTATTAGATTTTGGAGTCTCAACCTATTTTATAAACAAAGACTTTTTTAAAAAATAAGAAATATTTTTAGTCAAAAAATCTAAACCTATACATATAGAAGTCATAAGTAATCATTTGTTGTCTTTTAGAGATCATACTTATAAGATTATTTCTTTAGATGTAGCAATTAAAGATCATAATAGTATAGTAATATTTAATATCATAAGATTTCTCTTTAATCCAATTATTTTAGATTTATTATGGTTAAAAAAATATAATCTTGAAATAAATTCGATTTTTTATAATCCAAAATCTTATTAGTCTAGTAGAAATACATAAGTCTAGTACATCCAAATCCTTATTGATTGGTGTGAGAGCTTTCATACATGCCACAAAAAAAGGGTCATCTTTTTTTATATATCCCACGTCCATTTTTTATAGTAGAAAGATATAAAGTTATATTTATAGCTTGTGTTAAGATTTCTATGAAATTTTTCAAAATAAAAATGTAAATATTTTTCTAAAGTATTGACCTTATGATTGTTCAATTGATCTATAAAAACGAGCTTAATTACCATTTTGACTAATCTATAGTTTATTGAAGAATGAGTTGGTTGTACTAAAAAAACACATTGATGAAAACTTTGCTAAAAACTTCATACACTATTCAAAATATATAACAAGAGCTCCTATCTTATTTTTTTAAAAAAATGATAGATCTCTACAAATGTACAAAGACTATCAAGAACTTAATAAGATCACAATCAAGAATAGATATCATCTACCTTTGATTTTAGGACTTCTTGATCAATTTAATCAAGTAAAGATTTATATAAAAATAGATCTATTAAGAGCATACAACTTAATTTATATCAAAGAAGGAGATCAATAAAAGACTGCTTTTTGAACTAGGTATGGACATTTTCAAATATAATATCATGCCTTTTAGACTTACAAACTCACTATCCACTTTTCAATATCTTATGAATAATTTTTTTGTGAATTTTTTAATAATTTTATTATTTGCTATTTAGATAACATTCTAATCTATTTTAAGAACATAAAAGAATATAAATTTATATTTGCCATATATTACAAAAATATAGAGATGTAGGATTATATACCAAGACAAAAAAGTGTGTATTCTATACTACTTATGATAATTTTCTAGGATACATCAATTCCAACAAAGGTCTAATGATGGATCAAAAGAAGGTCCAAACTATCATAGATTGAAAGATTCTAAGAATAATAAGAGATTCTAAGAATAATAAGAGATGTATAGTGTTTTTTGAAATTTTCCAATTATTACAAGTTCTTCATCAAGAACTTTTCTCAAATTTGCCAATTATTACAAATTCTTCATACATGTTTGATATGTAAAAATAAACTTGAATAGAACAAAGAAGCTTAAGCATCTTTTGAAGCCTTAAAGATAATATTTATTTTTCCATGAATATTTTATTGCATCAACTTTTCAAAGACATTCTTCATAAAAAAAAACATATTAGAATTTTTC